CATACAAGCTACAGCATCATATAAACATTTAAAACAGGCATCCATATATAGCCAAGGTCAAATTTTAACCTCAGATTTCTAAGTAACAGCTTTGAATATGTAAAAATCCTCTCAACTCAATGCAGAGCACAACAATCCATGGGTTTATGTTGTTGGTTTTTACCAAAGCTTCTCCAAAAATGTCAACAGCAGGGCTGGCCTCCCTCAGTGCCTTCTCCGTGAGCGGTTCGGGCTCCCCAGTAATGCCAGTCCTTGGGGTATCACCAATGTCCTCTTCAGTCACCTCTGGCTCCAGGTAGGCAACAGCTTCATCCACCTGCTTGCAGATGGCTGGAAGAGGCCTCTCGTCGTAAGGTAAAAATTCAGCCTAACAGAGAAGACAAATTTGTGTTCTGGAAATGACTCGGATGTGAAGCAGTTTCATCACTAACTGGATTCACCTCAATGCAAATTTCTCACATCAAAGCTGCATCGCTCCATAATTAACTGTGAGAGTAACCACAAGACCTCGTTGCTTGGAAGGCTGGACACCAGGTCCTTTGCTCTGATGGGTTTTGCAGTTGCCAAGGTAACACTACTCACATTTTCCTTGGAGGCTGTGGGCTGAGTCAGAGGAGGAGGAGGGGACTGCTGTGGAACAACGGGCTCAGCAGAAGTGGGATCCACCGACTGCTCTGGCAGCTCAGGCTCTGCCCCCTGGGGCTGTCCCTCAGGTGGGTCTGTGTGCTCAGGAGGGGAGTGCTGGGGGCTCACAGGGTCAGCCACAGGCCCCAGAGGCCACTCGAGTGGTTTTCGGACCTGAGAAAGGGAAGGAGATTCTGTACAGCAGGGCTAAAAGTGTGCTAAAATCAATTACTACAGCTACACCTCTGGCTGTCAGCAGGATTCTGTGCTTTCAAGTAAACATCAGACCTGGCTCCCAGATGTGTCATCATTACCACCAGATGCAGCTTTATCAAACAATCAGAAAATAATTCTGTGTGGATGCCTGTGGGGAGAGACTACAAAGCTTCCCCTCCTAAGAACAACATAAAACTATACATATATAAAACAATCACACTGTGTGTGATTGTTTAACCATTCTGTATGGTTAATCTTTGATGTCAGCCTAGGACTCTTCTACCCCTCCAAAAGACAAGAAAGTATCTTATTCACCTGCACCAGGTAGCCCTGAAATTATGCAAAACATTCAGGATTACAGTGCCATTTGCTTGAGACCTCAACAGTTTAACATAACTTACGGAGAACTAGGCATGTTTATAAAACACCATGTGAGAGTCTTTGGTTGGGGAAATCCACAATCCAAACAAAAAACTGAAAATCTCATGTAAATGTCCTAATAGCTGCGTAGTAACTCCTACTCTTTGAATATTTTTGGTTGCTCTGCCATTTCTATTTAGAATACCCCCCCAAGTTCAGACTGACAGCACCCACCAGCAGCTGTGCATCCAGGAGGTCGTGGAGCTCCAGCTGCTGGTACACCTTCAGCCGGTACTCATCCATTTGCTCCTTCTTCTTCTTGGCAAGATCATAATCCTCCTTCTCCACCGCGTAGCGCTTCTCCACCTCGTACCGGCCGAGCCGCTCCCCCACCTACAGTCGGCACAATGAGACACCTTGGAATCACCTTACTGTACATTTCTTACAATCACCTTACTGTACACTTCTTGGAATCATCTTACTGTACTTATGTATATATTCCACTATTTCCAGCCAAACTGTTCAGTCAAGCTATCTGAATTTAAAATTATTACTTTGGATATACATTGGAAATCGTTACGGTTCCACACCAGCAGCAGGGCCCTGCTGGGCCACTGGAACACAGCTCCACTTAGGAGACAAAAGATCTCTCATCAACACCTTCTGCAGGTCTGCAATGGCCTGTTTGAGTTTCTTGGCGTGGTCGTAGCGCTCGTGCCGGACGGCTTCCCGCTTCCTCTCATCCAGCCTACGGATTATCTGAGCCACTTCCGGGTCCTGGTACATGTCAAAAGCCAAATCATCCAGAGGGGAAATGGAGTCAGATTTCCTGAAGTCATAAAACGAATAAAATAACCCACAATAAGCCAGGCTGAGGGAATGGCTTCTCTTTCCATTAGCAGGGAATCAACAAAACACAGAGACCAACAACTACTTTAGACTGAGTAGAGGTTTTCCCAGAGTATATGCAAAGAACATCCTTACCCAAAGTAAGTTCCATCTAAGGCAGGATCATCTGATTTAATTCCCAAGTAATGGTCTATCAACTTCTCTCTGGAAGGCTTTGGAAGGAGGCAAAAAAAATCTTAATGCACATTCACCAACATCAGGTGTGTGTTCAGGACAGAAGTTCTCACTTGCCACAATGAACAGCAGTTCTGCAACTCAGAATATTTATGTTTTGGGACACATTGAAACAAGAGAATTTGGAGAGGCTAAAAATGAGATTGTTCCAACTGATTATGTTTTAGTTTTTGTATCCTGTATTTGGCTCAATTTTCTCTTGTTTCAAGAGAACATTAAAAATAAATCAATACATGGCAGCTCTGCCAGAAGAAAGATACATCCCACTGCCCCAGGAACCTACACCTGAACAGGTGGAGCAGCACCTGAGCAAGAGGACAGGGATGCTTTGCACTTACACTGCTCATGCTGTCATTGCTGTAGTCTGCTGGATCCCCAATGATGTTCACAGCTACCAGGGCAACCTGCAGAGATTCACAGAAAATGGAAATGCATAAACCTGGTCATGATTCCAAGTCACTGCTAACCTGTTTATTTGTACCTTCTGTTTTAAAACAAGCCAAAATAAATCCAGGAGCTTTCAGCCAACATTTCTGGTTTCTACAGATCAAAGCAGCAGATTTCTGTGCTTGTTCTGTACTAGGGAAGTATCACTTGGATTACCAGGTAAAGACTCTTAACTCACCTGTCCGTATATGTTGTATTTATTGACATAATTTTTATGGAAAATCAGCTTCAGGTACTGGCCAACTGCATCCACATACACAGATTTTAACTCCCGTGCTTTGAAGTCAGTCTTCTCATTGTCTGAGAGGGGGACGTACCTGGGAAGGAAAACGTAACAGGTGAGCAGAGGACACGTCCAGACACACAGGTGGTGCTGCTCCTCGGGGTAGGACCTGGTAAGGTTTAAAACTCCCCATAACTGAGGCAACATCTGCAAGGCTGTTCATCTGCAGGTGCCTCTTACACCTGCATCTTCAGCTCTGTCACAGATCCACACGAGTCCAGGGTCTCTCTGATGCTTTTACAGCATGCCCACACCTCTGGCAACCCATAAGGAGTATTATTTTCCCCTGAAAGTTTTCTGATTAGGACAATAAACTCACTCAGAGCTTTCTGACTCACCCTAGTCTCTGAAACCTCTCCGACTGATATGGAGAGAAGTATTCAGGCAAACTTTCACTGATGTAGAACTCAATTTTGCTGGAAATCATGTACTGGTGAGCAAGCAGCTGCAGCTTCCGTATCCGACACCTCTCCACCAACTGCAGGATGATCTCCTGGGGATACTGACAGAGCCTGGAACAGACAGTTTCTAAATGAAATCATCCTTTTATAGAGGACTTCACTTCCAACTTGAGCAACATTCAATTATGAAACTTTCACATTATTTATTGTTTCAACAAACATTACAAATATTGTAAAAAGAACCCCAAAAGCAGAGTGGAAACACTTTTCCCTTGCCTTTACTGCACATATGTGTATGTTCAAGTGCCCCACACCTGTCTAGAGGACGTGCTGAGACAGCCAGATTTTTCACACTAAGCCAAAGCAGTTGCAAGCTCCAAGTCTGCCAAGAACAAAAGCGCTTTTCCCTTTTCCAGGACATTATTTAAATGCAACGTGGTGCCTTTAGGTGGCAACCAAGGTGCTTTTTTCCCCCTCAGGATGAGGATTCCATGGGACTAAAGTAACTTTTTTGTTTCATCAGCTTGGTCTGGGGTCCTGCAAACCACTCTTGGCCATGCCTGGCAGAGCTCCCACTCGTCTTAAACTCGGTTCTTCAGCACATCAGAGCTTCAGGACCACGCACAGGCAGTACCTGGGTGAGCGCCACCCGTTCACCGTCGGCGCGTGAACCATCAGCTCCCGGGCGCTGAACCCGTCCTCGTGTCCCGACGAGCTGACCACGGTGAAACCGATCTTGTGCGGCATCCTGAGGAGCTGAGCTGGTCACAGCCACGGCCTTCAAGCTTAAACTCATCCCTGGAAGGACGATATAAAAGACTGCTGAGACTATACAAAGAATTAAATCCTGTGGTCTCGTCAGGTCAGTAGATGATGACCACAAATCTAAGCTTTCTTTAATTATTATTGGCATGATAAAACACGTCATGTTCTTGTGGTGTGGGCCTGATTACTGCTGAGCAAAACGAGGGTTTAGCTCACTTGCAGAGCAGTTTGCCAATAGTAGTTTGCTGCGCCAAGATGGAGCTTGAAACTAAGAGTTCCAAACACACACAGGAGCGACCTGTACCATCCTCTGTGTGCTCGAGCCACAGGAACAGACAAAAAACAAAGCGCAGGGTCAGTTTAGCCCCTTTTCCCAGCCACGGGGACGGCACAGGGTGGGGGCACAGGACAAGCACCGCTGCCCACCCCGGGCCGTGCCGGTGTTATGGCCCCAAAGCCCTCCCTCCCTCCTCCCGCCGCTCGGCCCCGCAGGCCCGGAGGGGCCACGGCAGCGCCGGCCCCGGGGAGCGGCGGCCAAAGCACGGAGCCGCGGCCAAAGCACGGGGGGCCGTGGCGGGGGCTCGGGGTGCCCGGGCCGGGGGAGCGGAGCGGGGGCGGACGGGCCGGGGGAGCGGAGCGGGGACGGACGGGCCGGGCCCACCTGGCTCAGCGCGGCCATCGCCGCTCTCATGGCAACGCGGCCCCGCCGCGCACGCGCCACCGCCCCGCCCGGGGCGCCTGCGCGGGGCGGGCCCGGCCCCGGGACGGGGAGCGGGATCGGGATCGGGAGCGGGATCGGGGGAAGCGGCACCGGGCGGGCCATGGCGGAGCCGCCGCGGCCCTTCCGCCTGCGCGGGGCCGGCGGCCCGCAGAAGTTCGGGGTGGCGGCCGGGAGCCTGCGCGGGCTGCTGAGGAAGGGCTGTCGCCTGCTGCAGGTGCCGGGCGGGCCGGGGGCGGCCCGGGGCTGCCGGGGGCCCGCTCGCCGCTCACCCGCCCCCGGGGCAGGTTCCCTTGGCAGGCAGCCGCCTGTGCCTGTACGAGGACGGCACGGAGCTGACCGAGAGCTACTTCCGCGCGCTGCCGCCGCAGACGGAGCTGGTGCTGCTGGGCCCCGGGCAGAGCTGGCGGGGATGTGAGTGCGGGGCCGGGCGGGGGGCCCCGGGGGCAGAGCTGGCGGGGATGTGAGTGCGGGGCCGGGCGGGGGGCCCCGGGGGCAGAGCTGGCGGGGATGTGAGTGCGGGGCCGAGCGGGGGTCCCCGGGGGCAGAGCTGGCGGGGATGTGAGTGCGGGGCCGGGCGGGGGTCCCCGGGGGCAGAGCTGGCGGGGATGTGAGTGCGGGGC